ATCCATGATGAGAGAGAACCATGGATCGGCCGCCTCCCGCACGTCTCCTAATGGTGATCGAGCCTGCAACCCGGGCCTGTGCCTTTGACCGGGAATCGAATTATGATCTCCTGGTTCCTATGTCGACACTCAACCACTGAACCACACCAGCCAGGCGCCAAAAAAAACCCCAAAACACTGGGCTCCCGTTGTATTTATTTCCAGGAACAAGCAGGGACCGTTCCTCCTCTTCGTGTCCTTTCTGCACGTCCACACCCCTCTCATCACCACGGAGAATTTCCGTGGGAGAAGCCGCCACGGTTATGATCTCCTGGTTCCTATGTCGACACTCAACCACTGAACCACACCAGCCAGGCGCCAAAAAAAACCCCAAAACACTGGGCTCCCGTTGTATTTATTTCCAGGAACAAGCAGGGACCGTTCCTCCTCTTCGTGTCCTTTCTGCACGTCCACACCCCTCTCATCACCACGGAGAATTTCCGTGGGAGAAGCCGCCACGGGCTCTACGGAGACAACGTAGAGGAGATGGACTGGATGGTGGGTGAGTGAGTCAGAGCCAGGTTAAATTTTATTTTATTTTATTAGATTCCACGGATAAATGACATCATACGGTATTTGTTTTCCTTATGTCACCATCATGCCCTTGAAGTCCACCCATGCTGTTGCATTTGGCTGGATCTTTTTTTCCTTTTTCCTGGCTGTATACTATTCCACTGTATGGGCATACCACAGCTTTTTAATGCCTTCACCCACTGGGGGACCGTTAGGTTGTTTCCGTGTCCTGGGTATGGTGAACTGTACAGCGAGGAATCAGGGGAGATTGGGTGCGATATCTTTTGTGTAACTTGAAGGAAGTTAGAGCCACAATTTAAGACCATTTTTAAACAACAGACATCCAACCCCAACTCCATCATCAGCCTCCGTCTTAGACCTTCCCGGTCCCTTCGTTTTTATGTGTGTAATTTTGTCTCAAGGTAAAGCTTTAACTGTTCTGTTTTTATTAGATAGATATAGACATAGATAGATATAGATATAGAGATAGATGATATAGATATAGATATAGATATAGATATAGATATAGATGATATAGAAATAGATATAGATATAGATATAAATATAGATATATGTCACAAATAAAGAATGTCATAATTCCAGCTATTATTACTGGCCAGGTATCATGTGCTCATAGGCATGATCTTTTTGAATCCTTATAACATTATCATTGTGTTCCTAATTATATTGTATTAATTTCAGAGAGAGGAAGGGAGAGGGAGAGAGAGAAACATCCATGATAATAGAGAGAATCATGGATCGGCTGCCTCCTGCACGCCCCCCACTGGGGATGGAGCCCACAACCCGGGCTTGTGCCCTTGACTGGGAATCGAACCCTGACCTCCTGGTTCCTAGGTCAACACTCAACCACGGAGCCAGGTGGTCCAGGGCAAGAATAGCTTTATATGAGGGAAGAGAGGGCGGTGAGTATCATACCGACCTCCTACACAGCAACTAAGCCCTTTTAACCCATGCCCCCAGGTTGTCGGGAATAAAAGACCAACATTCATGTGTTTTGTATTTTTGATTTTTTAAAAATGGATTTTGACTGATTTCAGAGAGGAAAAACAGAGGGAGACAGACACACATCCATGATGAGAGAGAATCATGGATCGGCCGCCTCCTGCACGCCCCCGACTGGGGATCGAGCCCACAACCCGGGCATGTGCCCTTAGCCAGAATCAAAACTGGGACCCTTCAGTCTGCAGGCCAACACTCCATCCACTGAGCTAAACCAGCCAGGGCCCAATATGC